CGGGACTGCCCCCCCCCGCTATGGGGGAAGGCCCCCGCTAGCTCCTCCAGGCAAGATTCCCCCCCACCGCTTGCCTGCCTGGTCAACACAGGACTCCTTGACCACGTCTTTCAAATTCCTCATGGTGTCTCACACTTCTTTGACGGTGGCATCATCCTTGCCCAGTGACTCATGGAGTTCATCCCACCACTGAAAGAACATGGCAACCCACCTACAGCAATACAAGAATTTCTCCCCCTCCCAACCAGCACCTGCCAGGAGTTGCCGGGCAGTGGCAAGAGGCATATTACAAGAGACTTACCAGGTCCAGCATGTTCTTGGGTCTCAGTAGCAGTAGATTATGTATTGGCCCCATGGGTTTCTTCCTGACCCTGCATCTCCTCTGCTTCATTATCTGTGCTAGTCCATGGAACGGGAATAAGTGGAACTAAATGTATGGTGACTTATGGTACTTCCTGCCAGTCATGACCATCAGGGAGCAGGGAGTGGTCTGCATACAGCTGAGACTTGCTTACGGTTTCACCCTCAGGAGGGGATGCTGCTGCCACCTCCTCCTCCTGCTGAACCCCAGTGCTGAAAGTCTCCATACCCGGCGTGTCACCTGCATCCTTGAAGAGAATGATGAACAGCTTGTGGTAGAAGGGAGCGATTGTGCAACCTGCCCCAGAATGAGAGTTCGCATCTTTGGCTCTGTAAAACGCTGATCTCCATCATCATGCATTTCATCCTCATTCTCCATTTTGCCCTTCTCTATCAGGAGTGGCTTCTCACCCGTCTGCACCAAGCAGGGGGGCAGGGACTGTAGGGTGTTCTGTGGTCTGGAGCTTGGTGTAGCTGCTTTTTCAACACTTCACCATGGCATCCTGGGGCATTGGGTCTTTTGCACATCCTTTCATACTTTCATCCTGAGCTTAGTAGCCACTGGTGTTCTGATCTAATCGAGCTTGAAAACAAAAAATGTCTTGCCTACTCCTCTCCTGTTAGGCTACTCAAAACTTTTGCCACTTCAAGGGAAACAGGTTGTGCTTCTAAAATAAAATTATTTTGCACAAGCAGGCAGGTAGGTATCAATCTTTGCAGCATTCTGGGCCATTCAGCAGCCATCCTAAAGTCCATTGACCTTATTTACCCCATCACCAGGTCTTTGTTGGGAAACTGGGTGCTTCGTCACCTTTGGGTGTTTTGACACTTACAGGTAATGACTTCACAATCCTTGGAATTTTCCCAGACCCTCATGCAGGCACAGCCTGAATATAAAAGTGCCCCTCCCCCCTGCCAAATTATGCCAACCCCCTCTCACAAATTGCTTGTGCTGTTGGCCACAAACTGCTTCCCCACGTCCCAGAAAGCAAAGACCAGCAGTATGGAGCTGACAGCCCAGGAGGCTGATATCCCCAATGCCCATGGACCCAACTGGACCCAGGAAGAACTGGAGGATTTAATAGACATTTGGTTGGAGCAAAAGATCATGAACAGGTTGGAAAGTAGGAGGAATAAGCCTGTTTATGTTGAGATCACAAAAGGCATGCAGGTGTGAGGGCACAATTGTGACTGGACCCAGGTCCAGTGCAAGATCAAGTCCCTGAGATCAGCGTTTTACAGACCCAAAGATGTGAACTCTCATTCTGGGGCAGGTTGCACAATTGCAAGTACGATATCATTGGAGGTTGAAGTGGAGGCTGGTGGGGGAACAGCTGTGAACACTTCTGTTCCTCACAGAGGGAACAGCGGAAGAGAAGGGAGAAAAGTAGAGATGAGTTGATATGATCCTTGGGCCTCCTAGAAAGTTCTGGAAAGGAAAGTAGTTGGCTGTTAGAAGGTCATGGAGACAGCTCACTGAGAAGACAGGTGCAGGAAAATTCATGGGAGGTTTGTGTGTAGAGCTCATGGGAGGGGAAAATTTGCTCAAAGGCCTCAACAAGCAATATGGAGCCAGGGACGTCCTAGATGG